CTAAATTAATGAACATCTCCAAAACTGTACCTAAGGGAATAGCCTATCTCTGAACCTTCTTGTGAAGTACAAGAGGGTCTTAAAATACTTTGCCAGGTGTACTTTCTTCATGCAGTGAATATATTCCTGAACCAAAACCCAAAAAAAACCCAAACCTGTTGCTATCGAGTTGATTCTGACTCAGAGCAACCTGTTAAATGCATTCTTATAGCTATTTGTGGTTTACATAAACAATGTTTGTACAAATATATTTTTTCTCATTTTTTTACATAAGATTTCTAATGAAAAATATAAATATATTTCAAAAGCCTGTTTTTTGTATTAATATATTTTAATGACTAAAGGAACATTGCTTCTAGTAATTTAAAATAAGTGTATTTAAGGCTTTTTCCCAGAGGACAGGCTGCAAAACTGCTGGAAGCCTTAAAACAAAAAGAAGCCATGTTAAATTTAATGCTCATAAGAGAGGACAAGCCTCCTAAGAGAGGACAAAAGTGAGTTTGGAAACTTAGAGATGCAGGGATCCATCATGTGTGAGTAATCATACCCTGTTCCTTCTGGCCTTTGCCAGGTTGTGATGAGCAGAAAGGCAGTCTTTTTCCTTGAGCAGAGGCAGGAGGGAACTGGGTAGCTAGCTGTCAAGAGAGTGGAGTCTGGGAATGTTCAGAAGGCAGTGGGATACCTTTTGGTCTCTGAAAAGGTAGCAGAGACAGCCTGTTGTCTCCTCTTCTTTTAGTAAGAGGCCCTCCTGGATTACAGCTGGGCACGTAACTGCTCTGCTAATGACAGCATTTCCTTTCCTTCCTTGTAACTGGCTGTGGTCATGTGACTAATCCTGGGTGATGGGTAGTGATATGCACAATTTCTAGATCAATTCTTTAAAAAAGAAGGTACTTGCTGTCCTCTTCTTATTTTCTGCTTTCCCATTGGTTGGAAAATGGTAAACCCCTTGCAGCAGCTATCTTGGACCCAGAGATGGTGGTTGTGTGATGCAGATGCTGGTGCCCTACCAGTGCTAGGTCATTCCAGGGTCAGGATAGTCGTATGAGAGAGAGACTCATGTCTTAACTTAAGCCACTGTATTTGGACTCTTCGTTATAGCAGCTTGGCCTGTCCTTACCTGAATGTGATCAGCAATTCTAAAAGCTAGAGAGAAGGAGTTGGAAGCTATTTTGACTTTACTTTGATCTGAAGCACCAGAACTAGAAGCTGAATGCTCCTTATACTGGGCTTAAACACTTTTTAAGTGAATTTGAAAGTAGTTCTCTCATAGGGCATGGAAAGAAAATAATTATTTTGAGAGGTAATGGATTGAAAATGCTTTTACTTGGTAACTTTATATACTAGATGTTTATGTTTCTTTAAAAATTACTCTAAGACAAGTAGTAGGCCTCGTTTTACTTATAATAGCTGAGAACTAAGCATGTCTATGTTTTTAGCTGTTGCTTTCTGTAAATCTTCCTCTAAGACGAGATGTATTTAACTTTGTATGTATAAAACCCATTGCCGTCGAGCCAATTCCAATTCATAGTGACCCTATAGGACAGAGTAGAACTGCTCCATAGGGTTTCCAAGGAGCGGCTGGTGGATTCAAACTGCATACCTCTTGGTTAGCAGTGGAGCTCTTAACCACTGCACTAATAATGATTATGCTTTGTTATCATAAGATAATACGTTATTGAATAAAACCAGTTGCCATCAAGTTGATTCCTACTTGTGGCAACCCCATGTGTCAGAGTAGAGCTATGCTCCATAGGGTTTTCACTGACTGATTTTTTGGAAATAGATCATCAGGACTTTGTTGTGAGGTGCCTCTGGGTGAACTTGAACTGCCAGCCTTTCAGTTAACAGCCGAGCATGTTAACTGTTTGCACCACATACACAATTAATTAAAAAAATATTACATGGTCTTTATAATACTTTATGTTGAGAAACTACTTTGTGATTGTGTGTGTAAATTGTAGGCATCCATGGAAACTTAGAAGGAACTACAGTTTTATACTTGCTAGCCTTACCAGTGTAGACCTGAAGTGTTCTCTTTTATCACTAGCATTTAATAAGTATTTCAGCTTGTGTTTTATATCAGTAAGTACTTAAAAATTGAAATGGGGAAAATACTATATTTGGAAGAGTGACAAAAACTGAAAATACATTGAAATAATTTTCTTTTTAATTGTGCTTTAAATGAAAGTTTACAATTCAAGTTAGTCTCTCATACAAAAATTTACACACACATTGTTATGTGATCCTAGTTGCTCTCCCCATACTGTGACAGCACACTCCTCCTTTCCACCCTGGATTTCCCGTGTCCATTCAACCAGCTGCTGACCCTCTCTGCCTTCTCATCTCACCTCTGGACAGGAGCTGCCCATTTAGTCTCATGTATCTACTTGAACTAAGAAGCACACTCTGTTGAAATAATTTTTAATAAAACACCAGATCTGTTTGACAAAGGTGGTGGTTCAGTACAGTGGAAAAAATGGATTACTTAGTAAACTGTGCTGGCACAGTTAACTATGCGTTTAGAATAAACTGAAATCTTAAAACATATGAGAAAACAACTTCCAGATGGATTAAAAACTTGATGTAAGAAATGAAACAATATATCTTAAAGAAAACCTAAGAGACTTCATGGACAATCCAAGGCAACCTTAACCGGGGCTATAAATCCAGACTCTCTAGAAAGGATGTATGTTTGGTTGTGTATATTGCCACACACAAAAAAAAAAAAAAACCCAAGGGGGCACGGGGGAAGAAAAGATGGGCATATTTGGCTGCATAAAAAGTAAATACTTCAGTGGCAAAAGATACCATAAATGAAGTCAATAGAAAAGCAGTAGATGTGGAGAAATGATTCATATCTGTAATGTACAGATTTGACAAGACAGCCACCCAGTAGACAAGAATGGGCAAAAAAAATGAAAATGGCAATTCACAGGAGAGCGAATCCCTGTTGCCAACAAGCATGTGAAATAATGCCGAAGGTTTAGCGATTGGAGAAATACTAATCAAAATAACACTGATTTGTCACTGTATTAGTATTCTGTTGCTTCATATCAAATTCCCACAAATTTAGCAGCTTAACACAACATACATTTACATTCTGACAGTTTTTGTGGGCCAGGAGTCTAGGCATGGCTTAGCTGGGTCCTCTGCTCAGGTTCTCACCTAATCTAGGTGCTGGCAGCTGTGTTCCCTTCTAGGCTTCCGGATCCTCTTCCAAGCTCACATGATGGTAGGCAGAATTCTGTTTCTTGTGGCTATAGAACTGAGGTCTGTGCTTTCTTGCTGCTGTCAGCTGGGGCCACTCTCAGATCCTAGGAGCCCCACAGCTCCCTGCCACAGCTGTCTCACAGGCCCTCTGACAATAGGCAGCTTATTTCTTCAAAGTCAGCAGGCAAATCTCTGGTTCCAGTCAGCTAATAACATAACATAATCATGGGAGTGATGGTCCCATCACCTCTGCCATAGTCTGTTAGAAGCAAATCACAGGTTCCGTGCCACACAATATGACGTATTGGGAGCCACCTTAGAATTCTGCCTGCCAGTCATGTTTCATCCACTAGACTGGAAACAACTGAAAGAAAAAACCTATTACATTTATTGCTGAGATGGGGTGGGAGGTATGTGTAAGAAAGGGAAAGTCTATGCTGGGTTTGGTTTTGTTTTTCTATGTATGACTTTTAGAAAGGAGAGTTACTGTAGCCTTTAAGTAACCCAAAACCAAACCCACTGCTGTCAAGTTGGTTCTGGCTCATAGCGACCCTATAGGATGGAGTAGAACTGCTCCATAGGGTTTCCAAGGCTGTAATCTTTACAGAAGCAGACTGCCACATCTTTCTCCCAGGGAGTGGCTGGTGGGTTGAAACCACTGACCTTTAGGTTAGCAGCTGAACTCTTAACCACTGCGCCACCAGGACCCCAGCCTTTAAGTGCAGTATCTTTTAAAAACACATATACTTTTTGATGCAGGGAATCTGCTCTTGAGAATCTGTTTTATGGAAATCAAGCCTCTAATATCCAAGGATATATGACATTTATTCCAGCATTGTTAGCAAGGACATTTATTGCAACATTATTAGCAGTGGCAGAAAACTGTAAGCACAGTGAATGCCCATTGGTAGGGGAGTGGTTGGCTAGAGCAAGGTACACCGTGGAATATTATACTCCCTTAGAAAAATTAGCTAAGTGCTAACTGACTTGGAGGGATTGGCAAGAGGTGTTATTGAGTGAGATAGACTAGATGCAGAAAAGTGACCTAATTCTTAAGGGAGAAATAGTAGAAATTCGCTTATGTTTACATTTGTGTGTCTGTATTTGATTACATAAATGTGGCAAAAATATGGAATGATATATACTAAGTTTCTAATATGGGGGAGGCTGCTGCTGATGATGAAGGTGGGGAGAGGGTGCCAAGGAAAAGAAGAGGAAAAGCAGACTGTTGAAAAGAAGCATCCTCTTCCTACTAGTCTAATATGTGCAATGTGGCGACACTTAATGCATTTATGTAAAACTTTGTGTGTATGTACATAATATTAAAAAATAAAGACTATGCCCTTAAAATTGATCAGTATATCGGAATATTCCTGTTACTTTGTACACAACTTTCTAAATGGATAATGAATGTTTTCAGAGTTCTCTACTTAGCTCTTACCGTTTGTTTTGTTGTCAAAATGTATTATCTTAATTTAAAAGTCAGTAACTGACATTTAGATGTCTTAATACAAAACACTAGCAAAACAAGAGAGTTGGGACATTAGGAAAAAATGTTGTTTAGAAATTTCTCCTTTATTTGGCCCGACTAGGATTTGAGCAAGTACATAGTTCTTAACATCACTAGGTGCGAAGTCTAGTTACAAAGTTGTTTACATATCTACAGTTAAATAGAAATAACTCTTATTTCAGTTTCTATAATCAGAGTTCTATTTTTGACAGACTTTCCACATGGGGTTTTACAAAACTGAATAAAACATCTAATGTTTAAAACCATTTTCTTCTAGTGTCTTTTTCTGAAGATGAGAAATATCAGCTACGAAAATTTGTCAATAAATCTTACCTGCTGGATAAGAGAGCCCACCGTCAAGTGTACTACAGTTTGATTGATATCCTTTTGGCCTATTGCTACGAAACTCGTGTCACTGAAGGAGAGAAGAATGTAAGTACATGTGTGTTTGTGCATGTTGGCATACATTACAGCACTGAGTAAACTCTATTAAAGCATCCGCTGTCTTGTTGAGAGTAACACTTGTTATGATTAGTTATTTAGGAGATGCTGCAGGCAGAGGGGCAAGTGTGTGTTGGTGGTGGATAGGAGCATGAAAGCAAAGTGCTTATTTAGTCTTTTTCTTTTCTCTCTTGAGATTAATCTACTGAATAGCAGAGTGGGGAAGTTTAAGAAATTAAGGCTGAGAGTAGAGAAGCAAGATACCCTGAGCTCCCATCTCTGTTCGAGGAGCCTGGTTGTGCAGTGGTTAAGCTCTTGGCTGTTAACCGAAAGGTCGACGGTTTGAACCCACCAGCTGCTCCACGGGAGAGAGAGATGGCAGTCTGCTTCTGTAAAGATTTATAGCCTTGGAAACCCTATGGGGGCTGTTCTGTTCTGTCCTATAAGGTTGTTGAGTCGCAGTCAACTTGACAACAATGAATTCTCATGTCTGTTAGGAGGTGACTAGCCAAAGAGGAGGGCCATTGTTACATGACTCTTGGTATTGGCAAGGCTGTAAATTTTACCATACCCATCTACACTTTTTCTCCAAGCTATCAGTTAGCGGATGCGAGGTATGATAGCGTTTTACAAAAAAGGGAATGTTTGCATTCAACTTCAAGTGACCTTCAATTCATATGGTATGTGTGCTTCTGAAAAATTGAATATAAATCAGATTTTTCAAACTACTGGATCTCAGTTTTTTGTTACCTAAAGGATTGTTATATAAATCCATCTGTAAATTATCATTTTTAAATGATCGTTTAAAAATAATATAGGTTTTAGTGTATCTCTTCTTAAACCATACTTGATTTTGTAAACAGAGCGAAATTTCTTTCCCACCTGTATCACTGATCATATGTAAACCAAAAACCAAACCAAAACCATTGCCACTGAGTCGATTCTGACTCACAGCCACCTGATAGGACAGGGGAGAACTGCCCCATAAGGTTTCTAAGGCTGTAATCTTTATGGAAGCAGATTGCCACATCTTTCTTGCACGGAGTGACTGGTAGGTTCAAACTGCCAACCTTTCAGTTAGCAGCTGACTGCTTAACCACCGAGCACTAGGACTCCTTGATCATACATAAAAAGACTGGAAAACCAAATACCATATTTTTACGCAAATAACGTGTGCGTTCTACGTTTGTCAACGGTGCCGTCCCCCCACGAGATATTTTCGTAAACACCGCTATGCCAATTTTTCTTTTTACTGGTTGCTGTAAAAAATTAGCATAGTGTGCTTATGAAAATACCTCATGGGGGGAGGGCTTGGTTGGCAAACAAATGTAGAAGGTGCAAGTTGTTATTTATGTAAATATATGGTAGGCTTTCCAGTTAATGTGTGCCCATACTTGTTTATAATTGTCCTTGCTCAAGAAATTATTTTTTTACCTGAGCAGATTCTTTCCTCTTTTGAAAATTACACAAATAATTCATATCATTGTAAAGAAAAATGCACACATGAAGGAAATAATTAAAATTTCAGCCATCAGAAATGACCGCTGTTACAAAGTGATGTATCTCTTTCCAGTCTTCTTTCGGTATGCACGTGTATGTATATGTGTGTATTTACATTGAATCAGAACGTATATTTATACTATTTTATCTGCTTTCCTCACTCAACATAATAACATTAGCATAGTATTAGAATTAGAATTCAGTATGTGCCAACTTTATTGTTGTGATTCTGAAAATTTCTAAAGTGACTCTTGAGGTTTACATTTGACTCTAAAATGAATAGTAATGAGTATCTAAGTGTATCAAGGGTACAATATAACTGAAAATGCTTTCTTTCCCCACTCATCTTTTAAAGACTACAGTTGGAGAAAATGTTTTCTTACAAATTAAGTGCTTCATAGTATTGCTTGAAAAAACGAGTGAATGTTTAGTTATACTTGATAAAATTTACCATTTGTTTCTTGTATTTGCATATTTGAGATCATGAAGTCTGGCGACTTTGAGAGCATCTCTAGAATTTACTTATTCTTAGAAGCATTTTCTGAAAGACCAAATTCTTGAGCAACTTTTTAAGTGCCACAGATAGCACTTCAATATTATCTTTGATTCTTTTGGTAGATTATTTATGGAATGTTTGGGAGACAAGTAACTTATTTGAGAAGGAAAGAAATTGAGCAATCATCACTTTGCTTTAAAAGTTCAAAACCCCGTATTTATTTGCTCTTTTGTTCTGACACTCTTACCAGCAAAAAAGCTTTATTTTATAAAGTTCCAGGGAGAGTAGACCGAACTTGCTTCTGATAGCCTCTGCATCAGTGAAGCGATTACATTTCTGCAGTCATGATCACCTCTTAGTTCTTATATACGTCAGTACTACTTAGACACTGTTTGAGTAAATGGATATATTTGCTTTTTTTTAAATTGGCATTACCTCTAATGTGATGGTACTCTTTTCTCCAATAAAAAGGTTGAATCCGCATGGAATATCAGAAAATTGAGTCCAACACTGTGCTGGCTTGAGGTATGATTTTCAGTTGCAATTGTTTAGATTTTGTTTGTTCACCAAGTTATTCTGCTCTCATTGTTAGTTCATTTTGGGTGGTTCAGGCAATTCCTTGACTTTTTTTTTTTTTTAAAGCAGAAACTTTATTGTACAAGTTTGTTTTTCATCTTTTTAATAAGATTCTGATGACGTTTGTTACTCTAATCATAGTATGCTGATGAAGCCAGGTTGGGTATTTGGGAAGTTGGGGAGAGGAACACAGTTTGTAGAAAGAATGGGGGCATGGTTTGTTGGGGAGGAATGGGGGATGGAGTTTGAGGCCTGTTTGTAAGTTGGGCATATATTGGGTCTCAGAGCTCAAAGATGGGAATCACACCCAAGCGGTAATACTACTTGCTGCCACTTATTCGTCACCAAGGACTGTGCTAAACATTTACATATATTGCCTCATCTGTTACTTTCAGTAAATTTGTGAGGTGTTATTGATATTTTACATGTCAGGTCACTTGGATCACATAGCTTAAATAACTTGTCCTAGGTCCTATTGTTAGTATGGTTAGATCTAATAACTCTCTTAATATAATTATTTTAATATCCGATTTCTAGAAAATAGTTGTGCAGATCTCACCAAAAATATCAAAGGATGGTATCTTTAAATTTACTAGTTTTGAACAAACTTGCACATCAAAACAGTAAAAGTTGTTATTGTTAGCTGCAATCAAGTGAGTCCCAACTCATGGTGACCCCATGCACAATGGAGTAAAATGCTACCCGGTCCAGTGCCATCCCCATGATCGGTTGCAGATTGGACCATTGTGATCCACTGGGTTTTCATTGGCTGATTTTTGAAAATGGATCACCAGGCCTTTTTCTTCCTAGTCCATCTTAGTCTGGAAATTCCACTGAAATCTATTCAACATCATAGCAACATGAAAACTTTTTTAAAAAATGTCAATTTAAACAGTTACTAATTGTATCATCAACTAAGACAACTAGTTTTTCTTTCCAATTTAAATTTTAGATACAGTACATTTTAAGTTGTAAAACCAAGATTGTTTCATGGCATCACTTTGTTCAAATAATAGTAAAATATTAAGGAACTGAAAGAATTACTTCTTCAGCAAGAATCTTGCTACTCTGAAAATGGTCCACAGACCAACAGCCTGTCCAGCAGCCTCTGCCGAGGGCTTGTTAAAAAGACAGATTCTGGGCCCCACCCCAAACCCACTGAGTCAGAATCAGAATCGGTAGAAGATCTCCAGGTGGTGCACATATACGCACATTAGTGGTGGAGAAGCCTGTTCTCTGGGCCTCATTTGGGTTCTATGGAGTGCTATGATGAGCACATAGTATGGGAACCAGTTTTTGTAATAATCGCATTGAGTACTTAGGTTGAAAACAAAGTAGTTGATGATTAGATAATTTCATAATTCAATATTTATGATTTTACTTTGAAAAATTTGTATTGCCTTTGAGATAATTTAGAATTGCCAGACATGTTAATAGCTTATGTTGTACTTCTGTAAATATATTTTTTTAAGTTTATAATTCTTTTTAGATATAAACTATATTTGGCTAAATATGCAGTATTCTTAATCAGATCTCTCATGTTAAGGATGAATATACATGGGAATTATGCTGTTTCTTTAGTTTTAATTTTATTTTCAAGGTTTATGTATCAGTTATATTTTTAATACTTTGCTTATCAAAAAACCAATTAAAAAACAATTTTGTTGAAGATTGTCTTTCTCTAGGGTTTTCAGTAGTTTTGAATTGACTGTCAGTTTGGTGTACCGTTCCAGATACAACTTTTCTTTTTTTTTTTTTTAAAGAAATCAGTAGGGCAAAAAAAGAACCTTTTCTCTTTGATAAGTGAAAGCAAATTACTCAAGTAAATATCATGTATTACTCATGCCTGTAACAAAAAAGGAAGCGGTGAGCGTACTTCACTGAAGAGTTCTACATCCTTCATCTACAGTATCTTGAGTATTCCTAAAAGATACAAATGTGAAACATATTTTAAAACGTCCTTTATGTGCATCTGTATTTTGTTAATGCAATGTGTTTTAGATTCCTATTTGTGGTTCTTAAAAGACTTTTTGTAACTTTCTTGCCACGTATGTGATATTTTGAGGAGCGTTTGTAATATGCTGTTATAGTATGAGAAATTACAAAGAGTACAGTAAATGCATTGTTTTAAGGTGAACAAAAAGTATCTCATATCACGGTTTTATTCTCTTCTACATGGCTTCCTGATGACCCAAATTTATAGTTTTTAATTGAAAATAGTTTCATATATCCTTACGTGCTTTTGGTCATTTAATATATTTTGTGGACATGATTACTTATTCCAATGGTGCTTCACAGACTTGCACTAACGTTCATGAAATCCTGGTGTCCTTTGGAAGAAGAGTTTTGTGCTACCCACTTTATCGCCACTTCAAGCTGGTGCTGAAAGCCTGCAGAGATACTATAAAGATACTACAACTAGGTAAGATAAGGCTGTGCTTGCAAATTTGAGAGTGAAAAAGTTGTAAGTTTTTAAGTCTGAAAATGTAATGATGATTTTTGCTTTTGTTTATACGTAAGTGAAAACTATCCAAAATCGAAGGCCCCCCCCCCAATATATAAGTTACAGTCCCTCTATGTAGATATATGATCACCTAGAGAGGTGTGGTTTTTCTTTCTGAGGGCTTCGGAGGAAGGGTATGTGGTGATGGTACACACAGTATTTGAAACCATTTTGTAGTGTAGTGTATTGCATCATTCAGTATTTCTTGAATGCCTGTAGTTTTCTACATGCTATACTAGGACTGTGGGTATAATAATAAGTAAGATGATAAACTCCATGCCCCTATGAACTTACAGTCTCATGTGGGGGCCAGATGATAAATAAGTAAGCAATGCCAAGATAGATTGAAAAGTGCAGTGTGGGATAAGGGGAGGTTTCTCAGGGACCACTCAGGAGGAGACGCCTGACCTAGACTTGGATGTCCAGAAAGGCTTTTTCCAAAGAAAAGTGTGGCGACACTCTGGACTTTTGACTATGGCCAAATCCAACCTGGAAGTACAAAAACTTACTAGCTTTAAGGATATGGAAAGTTCCAAGCTCTGAAAAAAACTCCAAAGTGCTCATAACAGCATCACTGGAATAAGTATATAATTTCCAAGGTAATGACTTTGAAGGGGACAACATCCATTTGTATGAATTAGTTCTGGCACGTTTATTTAAAAGTCACTTTCAATACTTTATGGTCATTTCTTATATTCTCCCCTGGGGGAGTCTCGCATCATTCTTTTCTCCTTAGATAAATGTGCTGCTGGGGCTTAGTTTTTAGACTGCAGGATAAGAAGGGGAAGGAAAGGAAGTTATTCTTCCTTCTACATCCAAGTGACTTCCTTGGCTCAAAGGGGAGAGTCACATCTCTAATGTCTTGTCCTACCTAGAGTTCCACCTAATTTTGTCTTTGTCCTCTGTGTAACCTATATACCCTTCTTGCCCTGGGTGAAAAGTCATGTTTGAAGTAGATTCTGTTAAAGGAGACATTAATTATAAAAATGAATCATAGTTAAATGAGTAATACCATTTTATTCATCGAGCTGGTTGGGCTAGCTCTGTTTTATTTTGAAGGATTGTTGATTATGGGATAGCAGAACTTCAACCATTGAGAAATCTGTCGTCTTTGAACAGTGGGAAGCAAACTGCTCTGTTTCTTCGCGTTATTTTGTCTTGCCTTCTACCCAAGATATTTCTCAGATTGCTAAAATTACCTTGAAAAATCAATCTACTGTGAATGACTGATTGTTGAGCTTGAAGAGTAATCAGTTACACATTACAATTAATTTCTTGTTTAAGTCATGCTAGATTATCTGGGCATTATTCATAGATTTAAAGAGCGAGAATGTAGTTTGCGATTGTCCTGTCACATCATAGCTTCCAGATGGAAAACTGACAGAGCACACGTGCGGGCATGAGCGTGTGTACACACTCATCCACACGTGTACACACATACACGAATGTGTGCAAGTGTGCGAACTACTACTTGTTACGTTTTATTCTGGGAAGTAATCTAGTTCCCTGCATTTTTATTTGAAAAGTAATCAGTTCTGTGATTGCATAACCAAAAGTAAATTTGATTGCCTTGATTTACACTGTAATCAGTTACTCAAACAGTTTTATTTAGTAGGTCAGAAAAGAATTTAGACTTAACTTTTCATCATTATCAGTCTTACAAGAAATAGTCTTATCAGCTGTAGTATGATAGCAACAGAAAACTTGAATTAACACACTGGAGGCCTCTCTGCTGAAGATGAACCTGAACGCTCTGTAAATCATATGCAGTATGTTCTGTGGCTCATTTGGGTTGTGGCTAGTGGATGCTGAAACAGAGGACTAGAATTCATGCCATAAGCTACGGGGATGACAAGTTCTGGGTGAGGCTTGTAACCTGTGTCTGTGCAGGTGGGTGGCACAGGGCTGCCATTAGTGCTACTGAAGAGTCATGTTTGCTTGGACACCCCATAATTTTAGTGGGGTAGCTCTGTTTTGGCATTTAATGTTTTCCAAGAATGAATTTGTGCCTACTTATAATTCAAAATGCAACCACAGTAGTCACACTTTTTATTTTAAAGATCAGTAGGAATGCTTCCATAGTTGAAAGCAATGAATAACTCTCCCCAAAAGAAATACTTGATCTTATGTGGAGTAAGCTTCCAAACCAATGCAGGAATGCTTCTGAATCTATATAATATTTTATTATTACTGATTGACTAAGATCTGAGTTTTCAAAAAGCTATGAATTTTCTTTTCAGTAGCCTTTACAAGGATTCTTTAGTGAGCTTTTGGCTGTTTTAAATTTTGTATTCCTTCTCCCACCCTCTTCCCTCCTCAAAAGACTGCATATTTTTCTCTCACTGTTGCTATATCCAAACTCCTTCAAGGCCAGGAAGCTCTACTTTGCCCCCTTAACTACTGTTTAGTGTTTTAACCAGGGCCTTGCACATGGAATCGCTGTCCCCAGGTCAGGAATCTTGGGGCACGTGATTGTCCCTCTTTTTTAACCCAGTCTATCCTTGTTCTTGTTCCATTCTTTTGGGAACAGTGGGTAGAATCCTTCATGGAAGCATCACTTAGTTGATATTAATCAATTGAAAATAAATGAAACAGGGGTAAAGAGAGAACAGCTTTTCTAATACATCTTCAGGAAGTTTTATTCTATTTAGAGGTGACATAGTTTAATACTTGATTATGCATTGTTTATACGATGTACCAAGTCTTTATTTGTACTAATAGCTACACTTTATTAATCTTTTTAAAGGCATCCCTCACTCTACTTCCGTACTGTTGCTTAACCATTGAACATGTCATAATAATCTAACTTGTAATGAAAGGGCTAAACATGATGGAGTGGAAGGGAAAAAACTTAATTTTTCTCCCATTTCCCCCTTTGAGCTCATTCTGTGGATTCTTTTACTGCTTCTAGAATGGAAGAGCAGGCAGGTTTCTATAATTTTTTTTTTAGATTTCAAAAATTCTTTCACCACGTTTAGTTGCAGGAGAGGTCTAATAAGTTCAGTCCTTAAAGTGCCCGCTTTGTACGTCATTTAAAAAAAAACACCTTCCCTTCCTCAGCTGGAGTGTGCCTCAGGTAGGGACGGCAGCAAAGGGGTAGAGAGAGGGCCCCCTTTGCTGTTGTAGGAAGTACTGCTTGCTTCCAGAGAACCCCCTCCACTCAGCCACCACAGGCTGCTCCCTCCAGCTTCCGTACTGGTGGACTTTTAGCAGGTGTGGGCCAGACACCAGTCTCTATAGTGTGGTGTGCAGGGTACGCTCTCTGAGGGCCTCAAAAACCTGCTTTCTCTTTGTAAGGTGACAGGAAAGCACCTTGTTCTCTCCATGGAGGGTGGTAGGAAACCCCCCAGCATTCCACCCACTTTATCCAAAGAGATTTGTCTGGACCTCTTTACCATCAAGCTCCTGGGCTAAGGGCTCACAAAACAGTTTTTAGTTACTCTCTCTCAAAGGTTAGCGTAGGGAGTTTAGCATCACTTCTTAGAAGATGGGATACTTGATACATATTTTGTCCTTTGTGGGCCCCACTGGTAACGGGTCAGAAAGAGTCCTGTTGTAATAGGCGATCCAATCATACCAAGCACAGCTGCCCTGGATCGACCACTTTCTCTGTGCCAGCATTAGGCCCAGTTCTCTGTGCCAGAAACACTGTCTCATTTCATCCGTATTCCAGACCTGAGAAGTCACTGTTATTAGCCCATTTTACAGATAGCAGGTAGGGTCAAAGAAGTTAATTCTCTTGCCCAAGGTCACACAGCTAGTAGTTGGTGAAGCCTGGATTTGACCCCAGGTCTGTCTGACTCAAAGCCTGTGCCGTTACAGGTATAGAAATAGTTACAAATGTAATTATTTGAAGCCTGTGATTTGCTTGCAAATAATCTAGAGTAGGCTGGGGCAAAGTGCATAGGATAGAGATGAAGCAGGGTTGGCCATGAGTTGATAGTTGCTGAAGCTGAGTGATAAAAACATGGGAGAACTATACTGTTCTATTTTTGTACTTGTTGTAAAAACACTTGGTAAAAAGTTTTGTTAAAAATTTTTTTTTTAAAGTCTAGGCTTGTTATAACTGTGCTATATTTCTTTTTATTATTACTATTACTTTAAAAAAATTTTTCCCATACAAAAATTTATACATTGTTATGTGACTCTAATTGCTCTCCCCATACTGTGACAGCACACTTCTCCTTTCCACCCCTGATTCCCCATGTCCATTCAACTGGCTTCTAACCCTCTCTGCCTTCCCATCTCACCTCAGGACAGAGGCTGCCCATTTAGTCTCTTGGATCTACTTGAGCTAAGAGGCACACTCCTCACAAGTATCACTTTATGTTCCACAGTCCAGTCCAATCCCTGTCTGGGCTGGTAAGAGAATCCAGGGGCCATGCTTTCCGGGGTTCCTCCAGTCTCAGTCAGACCATTAAGTTTGGTCTTCTTACTAGAATTTGAGTTCTGCACCCCACCTTTCTCCTGCTCCATCCAGGACTCTGTTGTATTCCCTGTCAGGGTGATCATTGGTGG